CCCCAAAACCCCAAAACCCCAAAACCCCAAAACCCCAAAACCCCATTATAAATAAAATAACTTGAATTAACTTGGCAGAGATATCTTGAACTGTTTATCAAGAACTAATACACTTTTTTCCAGGGGTGGGCTAGGTCTTCACTCCAACTGTTGTAAGTCCAATCAGGATTCCAGTAGTGGTCATAGTCCCAAGTCCATTCTCCATCTCCCCAATCACCATTAAGGTTAGCCACTTCTAGATTTCCATGATCCCCAAATACAACAGGGTTGCTTCTTCCACCTGAGTAAGGTTTAGTAAAGAGCCCTGGGAAGAAATCGTCGAAATTATTGATACTTCCTGGACCATGGGTTGGCACACTGTTAGGGTTCACTGTTGGTTTTGGCTCTGACTTCTCTCCAGCATCTTTGGTGTTCTTCTCAGGAGTTTTAGCATCTTTCACTTTGAAATTGTCGGAAGTGGTCCCTCTGGTGCTAGGAGTGTAATCCTCGCATCTCTTTAATTGGGGAGCAACATCAGCTTTTCTTTCAGGATCCTTTTCCTTAGGGTCTTTGGCGTAAGCGTAGCAGCACATTTCTGTGTAGAGAGTATGACACCCACAGCTAATTCCAACATGTGTAAACTCGCTATTAAGAATATTCTTTCTATGACCTCTGTCAGGAACTCCATCGTCAATGAGAAGTTGAAGGATCATATCTGAGCCTGTTTCGGCATCGCTATAGGCTAAATTCTCCCCTGACATTGTTGTATCAACATATTTGTTGATCCTCATTGATGGAGATGAGCCGTCACTTCCGTAATGGCCTGTCAACCCATTTGGTCCTGAATCATGAATATGGTCATAACATGCTTGAGCTAATCCTTCAGACCATTTGAGTGGTTTTAATTCTGATGGAGCGTTGTTCAAAGCCTTAATAGCCTCATTCCATGCCTTTGGTCCTTCCTGTGTAGTCAAAGAGTAGTAGCAAACATGAGCTTTTGGAACAAAGTCTATAGATAAGCACATAGATTTTGTAGGTCTTCCATATCTATCATAAATAAACTTGCTATCAAGCTGATCCTGAGCCATCTTAGCAAAATCCTGTGGACTTGTTCTTGCCTTGTTATGAGCTTCAAATGAGTCATAATTTAGAGCTTCATAGTTGAATGGATCTCCTTTTACAAGGCTGAAAATACAAAGAATTGCTATAAAACCAACAAGAGTTTTCATCATCTTTATTTTTATTGCAATTTTCAATCTGCTCACCTATAGTTGGGGTTTTGGGGTTTTGGGGTTTTGGGGTTTTGGGGTTTTGGGGTTTTGGGG